TCCAAGCTGTCAGCACAGAGCCTGACGTGGGGCTCGAACCCATGAACCGTGAGATCATGACCTGAGCTGAAGTCAGACGCTCAACCGACTAAGCCACCCAGGCGCCCCTGGGGAGAGGGAGAATCTTAAGCAGACTTAGGGCAGAGCCCGACATAGGGCCTCATCTCACAACTGTAAGATGACCTGAGCTAAAATCTAGAGTTGGATGATGTTTTATCGATGGAGCCACCCAGCTGCCCCAATTTTTACATTTTTAAATGTAAAATGTAAACATTTGGAAACAGTTGAAAGAAGATATGAAATTGATATGAAATTCAGGTAGAAGTATCCATAAATAAAAATTTGTTGGACCTCAGTAGTGCCCATTGAATGTGGCTGCTTTGGTGCTGCAATGGCAGAGTTGCAACAGAGACCATGTACCCTGAAATATTTCCTATGTACTATATGTCCCTTTACAGAATAATTTATCAGTCCCTACTGTATGTGGTGAATTCATTTTCATTTTTTTTTCTTTTCTCTGCCTAGAGATTTTTCTCTTTGTCTTTTAATAATTTGTGCATTAAGGTGTCTAAGTGTGGATCTCTTTGTGTTACTTTTACTTGGGGTTTATTTAGCTGATAGGGTATATAAATTAATATTTTTAATCAAACTTGGGAATTTTTTGGCTATTATTTCTTCAAGTATTGTTGTTGCCTCCTCTGTCCTTTTGTTTGGGGACTTTTATCACACACTTTTATGTTAATAATGTCACACAGGTCTCTGAAGCAGTGTTCAGGTTTTATCTTTTTTTCTTCCAAAAGTTACTGTCAGACTTTTGACATGATGGTATAAGGAGGTCAGCAAATTCTCTTCTAATAAAATTGGACAGAACAGTCAAACAGACATCTCAGTGCTCTGGAATTCAAACACATACAACAAACCAAGAAGCATTGATTCATTCAATTACTGAACTTTAGGCAAAAACAGTGAGTGTGCAGTTCTGAGCTGCATCATTTTGCTAAAATGTCCTCTCTGGGGGCGCCTGGGTGGCGCAGTCGGTTAAGCATCCGACTTCAGCCAGGTCACGATCTCGCGGTCCGTGAGTTTGAGCCCCGCGTCCGGCTCTGGGCTGACGGCTCGGAGCCTGGAGCCTGTTTCCGATTCTGTGTCTCCCTCTCTCTCTGCCCCTCCCCCGTTCATGCTCTGTCTCTCTCTGTCCCCCAAAAAATAACGTTGAAAAAAAAAATTTTTTTTTAAATGTCCTCTCTGTCTCTGTCTGCCCCTCCCCTCCTTGTGTGCGCTCTCTCTCTCAAAATAAATAAATAAACTTTAAAAAAGAAGAAGAAGGAAGTACAAAGAGGTAAAAAGAAAATCCAGCTGAGTAAAGAGAACAGTTAAAGAAATAGTGAACAATAGTGTCAAATACTGAGAGGCGAAGAAATAAATGGAGTGAGCAATTGTCACTGAGAATATAACCACTCCTGAGTCCTGTGAATCCTTTTATCAGATCACTGAAATCTGTTCGGTTGATGAACATTTGGGTTTCCAGTCTTTGCCTCTTACATATATTGCTGTCGTGGTATTTCTTGTAAAAGTCTTTTGATGATTGTGTATACACATTTCTTGTAATATATACTTAAGAGTAAAATTGCAGGGTTTCATTCAACTTCAGTATATATGTACTGCCAAAAGTTTTCCAGAGTAATTTTACTGATTTACCCTGCAGCTAGCCAGGCTTTAGTTTATGCAGTTCAGATTATTAATTTTTCCCCTTAAGGTTAGTGCTTTCTTAAAGTCTTGTTTAAGAAACTTCTTCCCCAAAGTTTTATTGGTTTCTTTTTCACACATAGATCTGCCATCCATCTAGAAATAAGTCACTGTGTTTTGTAGGGGTCCTTTTTATAGGTTCCTTTTGATTCCATATGAATAATGCATAGTTGAACCAGCATCATTTATTGAAAAAAATCTCCCTCTCCCCACTGTGTCAACTTTGTCATAGACCAGTCAGCTAAATACATATGGATTTGTTTCTGAGTTTTATATTCTATTTATATATCTTACTCTATTGTCCTGTGTCAGTACCAGGCTGTGTTGATTTCTGTAGCAATATCTTGCTATCTTTTGTAACTTCTATAGCTTGGTTCTTCTTCCTCAAGATTGCCTTGGCTATTGTAGGCCTTTTATATATCTATATACATTTTATAATCAGCTCCTCAGTATTCACACAGTAACTTGATGGGAATTTTGATTGATTACATTGAGGTTGGATTAATTGGAGAACTGATCTTTATAATATTGAGTCTTCTACATGGTATATCATCTTTATATCTAGTCTTTAAAATTTGAGTAATATTTTCTCTTAGTGAAGAGATTTTTCACCTGATTTATTCGTAGGTATTTGATGGTTTTTATAAATGGTACAGTTTTAGGGGCACCTGGCTGGCTTAGTCAGTTGAGTGTCCCACTTCAGCTCAGATCATGATCTCACAGCTCGTCAGTTTGAGCCCACATCAGGCTCTGTGCTGACAGCTCAGAGACTGGAGCCTGCTTCAGATTCTGTGTCTCCCTCTCTCTCTGCCCCTTACCTGCTTGTGCTCTGTCTCTGTCTCAAAAATAAATAACATTAAAAAAAATTTAAAAACAATAAATAAATGGTATAGTTTTAAAGGTTTAATTTTCTATTATGTTGGTATATAAAACAATTTGTTTTTGTTTTCACCTTGTGTCTAGTGATTTTGCTAAATTCACTCATTAATCCTAAGTGTTTATCTATAGATTTTTATATACATATTCACATATTTTGTGAATAGTGACAGTTAACTCCTTCCAGTCCTTTTTTTTTTTTTTTTCCTTTCTTATTGCCTTACTGTGACATCCAGTACAGTGTTGAATAGAAGCAGTCGTAGTAGTGGACGTCCTTGTCTCCCAGATGCTCTTTGGTGGAAAGTGATCTAAAATTTACCATTAAATGTGATATTTGCTGTAGATTTGTTTTTGTAGATAGTCTTTATCAGAGAAAGGAAGTTCACCTCTGTTCTGATTTTGCTTAGAGTTGTTACCCTGAATGGGTGTTAAATTTTAACAAATGAACTTTCTGCATATAACTGGATAATAATTAGATTTTCCCCCTTATTTGGATATTGTGGTTAGTTATATTGATTTTTGAATATTAGGCTACCCTTGCATAAATCCCACTCAGTTTTGATATAAATTTATTTTACAACTGGAAGCTTCATCCATTTCACCCTTCATCCCCTGCCTCTGGCAACTACCAGTCTGTTCTCTGTATCTATAAACTTGTTTGTTTTGTTTGCTTCCACATAAAAGTGAGATCAATTGATATTTGTCTTTCACTTATTTCTCGTAGCACAATGCCCTCAGGGTCCATTGATGTTGTCTCAAAAGGCAGAATTTCCTTCCTTTTTTTCTTTTTTTTTTTTTTAATGTTGAATTTGAGAGAGAGACAGAGTGTGAGTGGGGGAGGGGCAGAGAGAGAGGGAGACACAGAACTCGAAGCAGGCTCCAGGCTCTGATCTTTCGGCATAGAGCCCAACGGGGGGTCTTGACCTCGCGAGCTGTGAGATCATGACTTGAGCCGAAGTTGGGCACTCAACCGACTTAGCCACCCAGGCGCCCCTCCTTCCTTTTTTTAATGGCTGAGTAATATTCCCCTGTGTGTGTGACTTTATTTTTATTTTTAATTGAAATACAGTATAATATCATATTAGTTTCAGGTGTACAACTAATTGTGATTTGACAATTCTATACATTGCAAAATGCTCCCCACCATGATAGTTACCATCTGTCACCATACAAAGTTATAGTCTTGCTATAAGTTCCCTATATTGTACATCCCTGGGACTTCTTTATTTTATAACTGGCAAAGTAATGTTACATTGTGTATATATATACCACATCTTCTTTATCCATTCATATATTAACGGAAACTTAAATTGCTTCCATGTCTTAGCTATTATAAATAATGCTTCAGTCAACATAGGGGTGCATATATCTTTTTGAATTAGTGTTTTTGTTTTCTCTAGGTAAATACCCAGGAGTGGAATTACTGGTTCATATGGTAATTCTATTTTTAATTTTTGAGGATCCTCCATACTCTTTTCCATAGTGGCTCCACGAATTTACAATCCCACCAATAGTGCATGAAGGTTTCCTTTTTCTCCACATCCTTGCCAACACTTGTTATTTCTTGGCTTTTGGATCTTACAGGTCTGAGATGGTATCTCATTGTGCTTTTGATTTGCGTTTCCCAACGATTAGTGATGTTCATGTGTCCATTGGCCATTTTTATGTCTTCTCTGGAAAAAATGTCTCTTCAGGTTTTCTGCCCATTTTAATTGGATTATTTGTGGATTTGGGGTTTTTGTTTTGTTTTTTGTTTTTTGGTATTGAGTTGTGTAAGTTCTTTCAATAATTTGAGTATTAACATACCCTTACTGATAGGTCTTTTGCAGTTACTTCTCACATTCCTTATTATCTTGTCATTAGTTGTGGTTTCCTTCACTGTGCAAAAGCTTTTTATTTTGGTGTAGTTCCAATAGTTTAAGAATTATCATTTCGAATCTTTTCAAAGGAGTTATTTTTGGTTTTGTTGATTTTCATTATTGAATGTTTAGATTTCATTTCATTGATTTCTGTTCTTTTATTACCCTATTTCATTATTTCTTTGGGTTGGATTTGCTGTTCTTTTTCTAGATTATTTTATTTTATTTTACTTATTTTTTTAACAAGTTTTAATTCACTTTATTTTTTTTTGTACAAAACTATGTGGTGGCCACAGCTGGAGCCTGGGTCCTCTGCACAGAGACTCTGGTGTGGGACTTTACAAGATGGTCAGTGAATTCCTGATAGGGAGACTTGGTGAACACAGTCTCTTTCCAAAGGTCAAGGGTGAGATAGCTGTAGGTCTTAGAAATGACATCAAAAGTAGCCTTGGCTAGAAAGGGGAAAACAACAGGAGCAGGTTGGTGGATTCTGCTGACAACACCCCAGGTGCAGATAGAAACTGTTGCACTCCCAGGAACCGAGAGAGGCCCCAAGTGGCCGGTCTATCATGCATTAGGAGGGCCTTCCTCTCTCTCTGAAAATACGCCAGCCACACACTGAGTATGATAGGGCAGAGCTGAGAGAGGTTTCTAGGTTCTTTACATGGAAGCTTAGAACATTGATTTCAGCCTTTTGTTGCTTTTCAGTTTTAATGTATTTAAAACTTTAAATTGGTCTCTAAGCATTGACGTGCTTATACTCATGAGTTTAATGTGTTGTATCTTTATTACCACTTAGCTTCTTCTTTTTTCTAATACTTCTTGTGACTTCTTTGACTCATGGATTGTTGGAAGTGTATTGTCTTAATTTCCAAACATTTGGGGACTTTTCTAGATTGTTGTATTATCAGAGAACATATTATGAATTATTTTAGTTCTTTTAAATTTGCTGACGCTTGTTTTGTATCCTAGTATATGGCTAAGTGTTATAAGTTTTCCATATGGCCTGAAAAGGACAAGTATTCCCTAGAATAGTGTTCTCTATATGGTAAGTGTGTTAAATGTGTTCATTACGTTTGATATCTTTTATGTATTCACTGGTGTCTTTTGTCTACCTGTTCTGTCACCTTTCAAGAGAGATGTGTTTCTCTTCTACTTTTTGTGTTACTGTTTTGCAACTACATTCTGTATTTTTTAAGCACTGTAGTACATCGTAATATTTTATACAGTCCATATTTACCTTGATATTTACCCATTCTGATGCTCTTCCTTTTTCTGGATTTCTGTGCTTTCTCCTGTAATCAGTTCTTCAAGATTTTTCTTGTTTTGCTTAGTCTGCACAGGTCCCTGTGCAGCACATTGTTTTTAATGTATGTAACATTTTCTTGAATGTCTTGGAGGACACTTGCACTTACTCTAAAACTTTCTTCTGTTTCCTACCATAATTTGGTTGTTTAGCAGTGAAGTGGATTATCTTTTCCTATTTGTGTTCTTTTTCACCTTTCAGAGGTTTTCAGATTTTTGTTGAATGTTTTATATGCTTATATTTACAAATGAGGGGGTAGATCAGAGATTGTGGAAACAAATGTCATCTGGGGCTAGGCAGGTAATGTAAACGTCAAGTGGGATAAAAACATTACATTTGGAAGACAGGCTCCATCAACTGCAGTGGCCACTGTCTGTCTGCTTACTCAGCTAATCGGTGATGTGCCAGTTCAAGCCCCATGTTTTGAAATCTTCGGTTTCCTGTGACATGCTAGAAAAATCATAGGGAGTATGGTGAAATTTCCTGAAATTTACACATTGACAACTACATCACTTTGAAAACCACAAATACAAATCACAAAAACATCGCTTTGCCAGTTTGCCACTGTGGCCTAGATTCCTCTGGTGGCTGGAGTATCGTTACCCAACCCGGGTGGAAAGCCCTATTCCTCAGAATTGAATGCAGGCGTTGCTTATAGGAGCTCTTGATTTTTGACAATGTGGTTCAGAGATCCCTCTATTGTGATGAAGTGGTTTATTATTTGATTTTAAGGCTTTCTGCTACTCCTGGCAGCCGTTAAGAGGCCTCGGGCACTGTCTTGTTTAATCTCACCCATTCGGTTCTGCAGGTACCCTGTGTAGAAGTCTCAGTCCAGAGAACTTTGTGTTCTGTGTTTTTTTAATTTATTTTTATTTTTTAAAATGTTATATTTGAGAGCAAGCGAGCAAAGGAGGGGTGGAGATGGAGGGCAGAGGATCCCAAGCAGGCTCCCCCTGATAGCACAGAGCCTGATGTGGGGCTCAAACTCACCAACTGTGAGGTCATGACCTGAGCCAAAACCAAGAGCAGATGCTTAACTGACTGAGCCACCCAGGCGCCCTCCCCGTTTTAAAAAATTTTACTTATTTTGAGAGAAAGCAAGCAGGGAAGGGGCAGAGAAAGGGAGACAGAATCCCAAGCACGCTCCACAATGTCAGCACAGAGCCCAGTCAGTGTGGGGCTAGAACTCATGAACCATGAGATCCTGACCTGAGCCAAAGTCAGAGGCTTAACCCACTGAGCTCCCCAGGTACCCGTGAACTATGCTTTATTTTTTTTTATTTTCTTTCTTTGTTTCTTTAATATAATTTATCGTCAAATTCGCTTCCATACAACACCCAGTCTTCATCTCAACAAGTGCCTTCCTCAGTGCCCATCACCTACTTTCCCTTCTTGCCCACCCCTCATTAATCCGCAGTTTGTTCTCTGTATTTAAGAGTCTCTGTGGTTTGCCTCCCTCCCTCTCTGTTTGTAACTATTTTTTCCCCTTCCCCTCCCCCATGGTCTTCTGTTAAGTTTCTCAAGATCCACATACGAGTGAAAACATATGGTATCTGTCTTTCTCTCTATGACTTATTTCACGTAACATAATACCCTCCAGTTCCATCGATGTTGCTGCAAATGGCATGTTTTCATTCTTTCTCATTGCCAAGTAGTATTCCATTCTATATATAAATCACATCTTCTTTATCCATTCATCAGTTGATGGACATTTAGGCTCTTTCCATCATTTGGCTATTGTTGAAAGTGCTGCTATAAACATTAGGATACATGTGCCCATGTGTATCAGCACTCCTGTATCCCTTGGGTAAATTCCTAGCAGTGCTCTTGCTGGGTCATAGGATAGTTCTATTTTTAATTTTTTGAGGGACCTCCACACTGTTTTCCAGAGCAGCTGCACCAGTTAGCACTCCCACCAGCAGTGCAAGAGGGTTCCTCACCAGTATCTCTAGTCTCCTGATTTGTTCATTTTAGCCACTCTGACTGGTGTGAGCTGGTATCTCAGTGTGGCTTTGATTTGTATTTCCCTGATGAGGAGTGACGTTGAGCATCGTTTCAGATGTCTGTTGACCATCTGGATGTCTTCTTTGGAAAAGTGTCTATTCATGTCTTCTACTCATTTCTTCACTGGATTATTTGTTTTTCAGGTGTGGAGTTTGGTAAGTTCTTTATAGATTTTGGATACTAGCCCTTTATTCAATATGTCATTTGCAAATAATCTTCTCCCATTCTGTCGGTTGCCTTTTAGTTTGTTGATTGTTTCCTTTGCAGTGCAGAACTTTTTATCTTGATGAAGTCCCAGTAGTTCATTTTTGCTTTTAATTTCCTTGCCTTTGGAGATGTGTCAAGCAAGAAATTGCTGCAGCTGAGGTCAAAGAGGTTGTTGCCTGTTTTCTGTAGAGTTTTGATGGTTTCTGACAGAACTATGCTTTTTGATTCTTATATTGGTCACAGATATGGAGGTCAGTAGCTTTGAGAGCAAGATACCAGGAGCTTATTTTGTAACCTGTTCAACTATGGATGTTTTTCCTCCTCCTCCAGATCTAACCTCCTCCCCCCCATCCCCCGACCTGATTTCTGGAAAACGTACTTTTTCAAAGATCTTTTTTTTCTACTTTCACATATTATTGTTCTTCAACTGTTTTAGGGTTTGTTGTCAGCCTTTTTCCGTCGGCTGTAATCATCCAGAAGTGCCTCACTATTCTTAGCTTCCCAGGAATACTGTAAATTTAGTTTTATAGCAATGAAATTTTAGGTAGAAGTACAGAAAAACAGCTGTGTGTGTGTGTGTGTGTGTGTGAGATGCTTAAAATTGTTGGTGGTGAAAGATGTAGCCAGTTAACAATTTATGTTTGCCACAGAAGGTTTTGTAAAAAAAGCACCTGAGCACTGGGATGTAAGTTCTTGCCTTATTTAGATTTCTGCCTCATTATTTATTACATTTTCATATTTGTAGGATATTTTCCATATTTCACTGATACTTCAAATGTTTTTATTCCAGGGTTCGTCTTTTTTACATAACCTAACATTAACAGAGGCAAAAACCTTTCCCTTTAATTTGTTTTTGAATTTGTCTTGATGTTTGCTTTCTGTAGGTTCTACATGAAACATTTCCTCAACACACATTCCTCATGAATGGTCTCATTCAAGGTGTAAAGGTAAGAATGGTTTTTGTGTGGTTCACAAGGAACCAAAGGCAGGAATCCTTAGTAGTTTGTTTAACTCTGGAAGTTTAAATGGGATGTAGGGAAATAATCACTATTTGTTCTGGAGACCTAAAGTGTGGGGAAATAGGTTCTGCTTACATAAATGGGTTAGGAAAAAGTTTAGGGTGGAAAGCCACCCCCATGGCACCTGAGGTTAGCTAGCAAGCTATTGTAATGGGATCACAAGTAATTTGTTCTATCACCTACAGGCAATTACTTTCCATCTGATGTCAATGTACTATTGTACTTTGATCACAAATTCCACTTGCCCCCCCCCCCCCCCAGACCCTTTACACAAGTTAGTGATTACTACTTGATTATTTTCTTCACATTCACCACATGTGTAAGATCTTGAGAGCTCAATCAGTACAGAGACAAAACTCCGGTTAGGACATTAGCCTCTCTTGTATTCAATTCTGCATCTGCTCTCTTGTTGGACAAGAGAAAACTCTAGACTCTTAGTCTGTGACACTAAAGCTAAACTTTTAACTGGATTATCAATGTCAAAGTGAAATGCAATCCAAGTCCATAAGGCATTGAATGGTTTACTTGTAAAAGCACTTTATAAAGAGTTTAATTTTGTGAGCTTTTAATTGCCCTGCCTGTCAACAGAATAAAATGGATAAATATTCTTGTCTTCTTTTGAGACAGATTCTGATACTGAGGAAGAAGACAGCATCAACATTTAGTTGGCTGTATAGTCTTTTGTCAAGGCTGGTGTTCTAGTCTCAACTGAGTTCTCAACCACTTCACCCTTAATACATTGTTTAAAAAAATTTTTTTTTAATTGTTATTCATTTTTGAGAGACAGACCGTGGGTGGGGGAGGGGCAGAGAGAGGGAGACACAGAATCTGAAGCAGGCTCCAGGCTCTGAGCTGTCAGCACAGAGCCCAACGCAGGGCTCGAACCCATGAACTGTGAGATCATCTGAGCTGAAGTCAGATGCTTAACCGTCTGAAACCCCCGGGTGCCCCGACCCTCAATTCATTAATTAAATTTTAATGTGATATTTATCAGAAAAGCTTATAAATAAGAGGTTAAAGTATAATGTTATATTTTAGTCCCACTTCACAGTATAGTACATAGGTATAGTGTCTGATTCCTTCCCAGTTTAGATGGTACTGATCTGTGAACT